AATCTTAGACTAATGTCTGACATAAAGCAGAACCTTTACATATTTATTAAATGAATAAATGCATGATTTAGAGAAAATAATGTTATGATTTTGAATAGAAAAATAACAGATTTTGTAACAGACCTTGAGCTTATAAGTGGCAGTTTGGACATAGCCATCTCATTAGAAGGCACATGGAGTTGGAGAACACTTTAGACGTAGATGTTTGGCGTGGTGGCAAGATGGAGCTATCAGAGTACCAGGAGAGGGCAAGCTGGCAGGTTGATCCTTCCTAATCTGAAAATCTGAGATTCAGAATATTCCAACACCTAAAACTCTGAGCACCAGCAGGATGCCACAGTGGAAAATCCCACACTTAACCTCATGTGATGGTATACAGCTAAGTCCCAAGCATACAGCATGCAGCGTATTCACTGTCTCCAAGGGAGAAAAGACCTGCCACGTCGCCTTCAGCTGCAGCATATCTTTTGTATACACGCCCATACTCTCCCACAGAAGCACACCCCCAAGGAGTACTGGAACAGCACGTGTGAGGGCCCTGGGTGCCAAGGTCCGGTTCCTCAAGATGTCCATATGAGGCTACTGTTGCTGTGAGCTTTTTGTTTATTCTCTTCTCTGTAGTATGAATACTTCAGTACTGTTTGTAGTACTGTTAAAAAAATGTCAAAAACATCCACACATATCCCTGTGGGTGACAGTGATAGGAAAAAGAGAAAACATTTATGTTTATCCATAGCACAGAAAGTGAAGCTGCTGGAAAAGCTGGACAGTGGTATAATTGTAAAACATCTTACCAAGGAGTATAGTGTTGGAATGGCCACCATAAATGACCTGAAAAAACAGAAGGATAAACCGCAAGTTTTATGCTGAAAGCAATGAACCAAAGTTAATGAAAAATTAGGAAAAGACTGCATAAAACTAAACATGAAGACCTTGATCATGTACTGAAAGAGACAATGGATCTCTTTCAGTAAAAAGTGGATCTGTCATCTTTTCAGTGAACATGTGCCCTAAGTGGTATGCTGATCATGAGCAAGCAAAGGTCTGTTGTGATGAGCTGAAAATTGAAGGAAGCTGTGAATACTCACCAGGCTGGCTACAAAAAATTAAGAAAAGGCATGGCATTAAAATTTTAAAGATCTGTGGTAAGAAAGCTTCTGTTGATCACAGAGCAGCAGAGAAATTCATTGAAAAAGTGGTCATTGAAAAAGTTTTTAACACCAAGAATCAGGTTGCAGTTTGTCTTAGTTACTCTTCTCTCGTTGGTGGGACAAATACCCAACACTCAAAATGAAGGAAGGAAAGGTTTATTTAGCTCACAGTTACTGGAGGTTTCAGTCCACACTCAGTTTGGTCCAACACAGAGCAGCACATAGCAGAAAGCAACCTGTCATGGTGGTGGCAAAGAGCAAGAGCACAAGGGAGGGGTAGCAGCAGCTCAATAGGCAATGCATTTCTTGCTGATTCCTTTTTTCTTTTTCTTTCTTTCTTTCTTTCTTTTCTTTTCCTTTTTTTTTTTTTTTTTTGCAGTACCGGGGATTGAACTTAGTACGCTACACTTGCCAGGTGCTTGCTTTACTGAGCCATCTCCCTGGCCCTCAGTTTTCATTAGGCTTCCTTTTAGTATTGTACTGTGAGTTTTGACAAATGTGTAAAGTCATGCCAGGACACTGCCATCACAGGATCCTACAGACCAGTCTCACTACCCTAAAAATCCACGGCCCTTCTTTCTCTTATCCACTCCCCCTACCTCAAGCACTCTCTGGAAACACTGATCTTTTTACTCTCTTCAGATTTTTGCATTTTCCAGAATATTATGAAATTGTAATCATTGAAACTACAATGTTAAAGCACTGAATGAACAAACAGGGAGCCTTGCACATCACCACAAAGATTAAAACAAAATGATGTTTTAAGATCCTTGGTAAGAATTTCTCAGCCCTGGGCTTATCAGTTACTAGATGCAAATGGATGAGAGAATATAAAATAAAAAGCTTTTGGAAATACTTGTGTGTAAGCCATAGATTTTTCTTCATTTCTTTTTTTCTGATACTGGAGATCTAACTCAGAGCCTTGCACCTTGCCAGGAAGGCACTTATTCTGCTGAGCCATATCCCCAGCTTCACATTTTTTTTCTTTTTTTTAAAAGCAGTGTTAGAAAATTTGAAACTGCTTTGAAAAGCTACTAACACATTTTCTTATGTCTCACTATATTGGAGAATTCTCCAGATGATGGGTGGTCAGCTAACTTACTAATGGACACCTTATATTTAGAAGTTACCTAGAATTTCATAGTACAAAACTTGCCCAAGTTCTCATTGAAGTAGCAGGTGGAAAAAATTGAACAAAACTGTCCTCCTGTATAAGAGAAAATAACTAGTTTTTTTTTTATTTTTTAACATTTATTTATTTATTGTGTGTGTGTGGCCAGCTCAGCCCACCAGGGGGCGGGGCTGGCTGGCATGTGGTGCTGGGGGATCAAACCGCAGTCCCTGTGCTTTACCAAGCTTGTTCCAAGTAGGTGCGTTAGACCACTGAGCCATCTCGCCAGCCCCGAAAATAACTAGTTTTATTAAAGCTTGTTATAATATTTCTGGTTTATGATGACAATTTGGAGAGATTTTACTATAGAGAAATGACATAAAAAAAGACTTCTTAGTTATAGCCTAGTCCAACATCAGTCTTTTTTTTAAATTTTTTATTTATTTTTTTTAACTAGACAGGTTCTCACTATAGCCAGCCTGGCTTCAAACTCATGATGATCTGCCTCTGCCTCTGGAGTGCTAGTATTACAGATGCGTGCCATCATACCTGGCTCAAACATCAATTTTAATGAAAATAACTGGCCATAGTGGGGCCCACCTGTAATCCCAGCA